TCTTTCCCTGGTGCAGTACTTTGCTTTGGGCTTTTCTCTCCTTTTTTTTCCCCCCTCTCCTCATTCCTACCTTTCCAAGCACCAGAGGATATGTAAGATATTTCAAATGACGGGACCCCTGCGCTGCACCCTCCCCTGCCCGAGCCCTACCGCATGTCAAGGCGGAGCAGCCCCTTTCCCCGCACCCCGGCTTTGTGCGGAGGAGCTGGACCCTGGCTCCTGCTGCGCGGGGAGGTCACAAGCCCAAACATTTGTTAAGGCTGGCGAAGTCAGCCTGGGTGCAACCATCAGAAAGAAAAGGAAGAGCCGGGAAAAAGCCAGACACATAACAGGACCAACTTAAAAGGCCTCCAATGCTTTTTTCTCATTTCATTCCTCAAACATTCATTTCCACCGCATAATTGCTGCAGAAGCAACATGGGAGTATCTCAGAGACGAAAAAAGCCCACTCTGCTTTCTCCTGTTCTACCTCCTCACATCTCTAAGACATCATGGTAGAAACTGCACACAGTGCAGAAAGGTTTACTAAAGCCATACATAACTTCATTACATCTGACACTTCTGGAAAGTGTTCTATAAAATGTAATGCTGCTACCATACATTAGTACATATAGAAGAGATGTTTCATACCTGTCTTTCTCCAAAGGACATCCCAAGGGCATTAAAAAAGCCTTCTATATAGGAAATAATGCTTCCATACACAACAGAGCTTCTAGGAGATCCAGCATCCTGTTTAAAAAACACTCAAAAGAAATTGTCCAGTCAATATGTATTACAGAACTCAGCATCTCTCTGCAGCCTAGGTCCACAAGGGAAAACTATTACTAATTATATAGATCTACCTCCACCATTAACACCTGCCCAGACACGAACTTCTACAGAGATATAAAAGCACCTCACAACACAAAGGGAAAAGATTTAAGTAAACAGAGGAGGGAAAGAGCTTATTACCAGCATGCACAGCGAGGAGAAGAGATGCATAAAGCTGCCATGCATTACATGTGCACAGTAAATTAGGCCTAAAAATAGCACTTCTGGGCATGAAAGGGCTGTGTGTATGAAAACAAAATAAGAGAACAAAATCCCAGCTTCAAGGGCACCTATGAAATAAATTATTAAAAAACCCAAACCCTTTTCTCAGTGTCTTATTGATTTAAACAAAGTGAAGACTGCTTTAAGATAGCTTATGGTGTTTTGTCATGCCCCAGTAGCACCAGCAATCACCAGCAGCAGTGACAGAATAGCAGTTTTAAGAACAGATGTATTTATGTCTTTCCTCAATATTTATTTCACAAAAAAAAAAATTAAAATCAAGATTAAATGACAGACTGAGAAACAATTTAAGGGACTAACCCTTGCCTAAAAACAGAGTGACGACATACACAACCAAATTAGCAGCTGGTATTGGATTTTACCTGACATCTCTATTAGGGCCTGACACTAGCCATAACCTAAAGTTTGCAAAGAATCTGAGCTGGAAGGAGCTGAAGCGGACTGCTGAGGGAAAGAAACAGGAACATGCCAGCTAAGGCAAGAACAGCAAGAAGATTAAAGAGAGGAATGAGTAGTTACGTTTATGTGAATTTACTCACAACTCTTATGGAAAAAAAGTCCATGCAGAGTCAGTAGGAGGTAATGCTTAGACAGCTGGGCTGCGCCCAGAAAAGCTCCACCACCGCAACCAGAAATCCGAGTCAGCTGTCCCGCAAATATACCACCCAATTCTTAGCAAAATGAGTGACAGGAGGAATTCAGGGAAAACAAACAACTGGCAAAATGAGGCTACTTGTATTTAAGGCATGATAACACTGTTACAGAACCCTGCTGCAAGCTGGCTCAAGTCAGGGATTTGCTGAGAGAGTCATTTAGTAAAGAAAAGGGAAAGATAAGGCTAAGGACAGAGTTTAAAACCAGCACCAAAACAAGACCAGGAGGAGGGAGGATTTCTAAGCCAGTGAGCCAATTCAGTTGTTACTACTACTCCAGATCTCTTTCAGAGCAGAGAGATGGTGGACATGATGACACCAGCAATCCAGGAGCACAGCAACAAGGCTGAGCTGCTCACCTTGACCAAGAAAGGGAGCTGTTGGTACAAGGAGAGCCAGAAGTGCTTCAGACTGTATTTATTACTCAGGTCTGGTCCTTACCAGACTCTTCCTTTGTGTCAGCATCAAGAGATCTTAACGGGGGCCTCGATTTGCCAAAAGCCATCTGAAGATGGAGTCACACAGACATGCTGAGGCCACAGTTACAATTTGCTGACAACAGAAGCTGCTCAGTCCCCAGAGCTGAACTCACCACCATGACTGCCCCGTGCACCTGGGACTGCCGGCCAATGCTCCCGCAGCAACCGCCACCCCCTATTTCCCAATTTAGGTTGATTTCTGTGCATGGGTATTAAGCAAAGAAGCAGGGTAAGAACATAAAACTAGCGTAAAATTAGCAGCATGCCACAATGGCTTCACGCCTTTCAAAAACCTTAGGTATAAATAATATAGAGCAGGAGGAAAGAAACATCCTTTGGACACAACGAAGCACAAAACAATAGCCGTACACAATACGATACGGTCAGGACAAATGGGCACCATCAAGGTGAACAATTTATGGAGCTTTGTTTCTGCTGGTTTCTTATGTGAACAATAAGCTAATCTGTCTGCATTAAACAGTAGGACAGTGGACAGCTGTCATTTTCTGATCTCTGTATCCTAATGGGTTACCTTAGTAACAGCCTTAAGCTGTCTGTTGCCATGGTGAATGAGGTCCATAATTGCTGCAACAGCCCTGGAGGTGTCAAAGTCATCTGCAAACGCAGCCTTCACGGTTACTTTTGTGTTGGCTAGCCTTCAAGAAGAAAAGGTAACGTTTAAGATAAGACAAACAAGATGCCAGCAGTACGCTGAATTCATCAGCTATTTAGCCAGAGGGAGTCATCGAAAGGACGCTGTTGTTTCCTTCCTAGCTGTCCTATGATGGGTGATGCTAGGCTGATCAACGAGAACACATCTTTCAGCTGTGAAGGGAAAAACTTGACTCCTGTCAAAATCCAGAGTGCTACGTCCGTTCAGTAAATACATTGTTAAATCACAGGAACCAACAACAGCAGATCAAGGCTTGCCTTAATCATTTAAAAACAGATGGAAAATGAGGTTATATTAAGCATGCTAAGGATTTTGCTAAGTTCAGTTTTGTTTTGGGGTTGTTTTTTTTTTTCTTTTCTCTCCACGCTAATGGCACATTTCTCTTCCAAAGCCACACCACGTGCATCACTCCAGTGCCTGGCAAGAGAGCTGACTGGGGGTTGGTCAGGCATCCTGTTGGCATGATCCGGCTTTCCTCATTTCCCAGGCGAGCCCAGTCCCAGCCCTAGGACTCCACTTGCCTTAGCTGAGACGTAAAAGTCTGGTGGGACCGCTCATGTAATGGCACCAGAAGCCAGGAGGCAGCCAGCACTCTTCACCACAGGACCAGTGCCACCCACCGCAGCTGCTGCAAGCAGGACGATGAGGACAGCAGCCGGAA